GAAATAAAGACTTGTACCTTGTAGAAATAAAGTCAACACTATGTTGCCTCCCAGTGGCACAGCGGTATGTCTGCGGACTTAGTACGCTGGAAACCGGCTTTCGATACCCGTGTTGGGCAGAGCACAGATAGCCCATTGTGTAACTTTGTGCTTAATTCCAAACAAACAACACTATGCCTTAAACCTTAAGGTTGTTTGTAAATTTTTTTGCGATTGCATTTTCATTTTACACTACCTATCTTGTTTCTGTAATTTTTTGAAAATCCCTGTTCCACCTTTCTAAATGAACAATTGTTAATAATTTTGGTTCTTTAGTATTTTTTGTTCATCATGGACATAAATCTGTATTATAGCAATACTGTCCAATTTGAAATAGTTTAGTTTAACGAAATATGTAGTTGGTGTATGATGCTCTCACCGGAAATAATGTTATAATTGATAGTGGTACTGCATGTATGATCACTATGATGCATGGTGATCAACATACCACATGTTATTTATTTGCTAGTAAAATGTATATAGCTACTATATTTATATCCTGTAGCTATATGAGAAGTCTGTAAACACTGGATTGGAGGGACTATTGAAATATACTAGAATGGTGCATGGACTGGATTTTCTAACCGCATGAGTTTTATACGTGCATGAAATGCAATGCATAGCACTGGTAGTAATACCTATCTATCTATCTATATATATATAAGTATATATATACATCACGCTTTATAGTTTTTTTAAGTTGTAAAGTCATATACATATAGTGAGTCGAGTGAAATTTTAATGTTCTATAGATGCATGCATATATATTCAATGCCAATATAAGTAAATGTGTCATAATATAATAGCATGTGTAAACAAATAAGCATTTTTAATATTTCTAATAGTTGTTATAATTCCCCCTTCCTCTTCCTTCTCCACCTCTCCGCTGGTAATATAATAGGACGGGTCACTGATCACGATTTTACTGCACCTGGCCAGACTTCCTCTCAGAGTGACATTCTGCACACTCTACGAGGTCGAAAATGTGTTAATTAACAAATATAAATTGGTAATATTAATATATTTTTTCCTCCTCCATTTCTGATGGAGTTTGGGTCGCGACCCTCTTCCACTGTGATGACCCTAAACTCTAGTTGGCCGTCACTGCTGCATACTTTATCTGAAACTAAATATTTTCTAAATAAAATAAATAGCGACAAAATTCGTGCCTCACTTTCGCCTAGAATCGCCAACATCTTCGCCATCTCCTGCTTGCACGATTCTTGCCACTCTTTATAGTCAGCTTCAAGGATGGCTATTCTATCTGCAGTATCTATAAGATTCCCAATCACGTAGTTTTAGCTATAATTTGATACTTACCAACAGCCATTACCGTGACTGCGGATACATGCACGAAACTAAGCTTGGTGCTATCTTTTAAACTACGGCTTAAATATTTTTGTTGTGAGAGACAGCCCAGACGTTTGCATAACGTTTTACACATTTGTGTAACGTTGCAGTCGTTTGTGTAACATGGCCGAAATCGATTATGCATTGGTAAAAAAAATTTGATCCTGTCAGCAGCGTCGTGTCAGAAAGGGCTGGAACCCTACACATATATATATACAAATGATACATGACATCAATACAGTTGGAACAATAAATTAGTAATCGCTATGGTACATGTGTCATACATCCACAGCCTGCACGCAGCTACGTACGTATGCATGAAGTAGATTATGAAGCTCCATATAAACACAGACTACATTAAAACGACTGGATATGAACTGTTATACAGCCGCTTTAAAACCACCCTACACAATGCGCAATGATGCGTTTAGTAATGTTGCCCAAGTTTTATTACAATACCAACAGCCATTATTGCTGTAGGCTGGCAGAACGATATTAAATAATAACAAAGAAGAACAAAGGGGCGATCCCTATTATGAAACACTACCGGTATATAGTGGATGTTAACAATGGGTACTTTCATTAAGTTGCATAAATAAAGGAATGTATGTTCACTATGGGTAACTTCATTTAATCTGTTTAAGAAATAGAAATGCACGTTCATTATAAGTACTTTTATTCAGCATGAAGAACTATAGGCCCACCTTTTAATAACGACGTGGGTGGTTCAAAATATTATAAATGTTTATTTCAATTATGCAATTCAGAACACAAAATATTATGATGCATAAAATACCAAATGCTCAAAAAACTACTACATTTTAAGCTACAAATAAGGTTAAAACATTTTGTTAGCCACTTAGCATAACAATAATAATCACTCATAAACATCTGTTGTTGTTTTTTTGTTAAGCACAAAACTACAAAATGTGCTACCCGTGCTCTGCCCACAACGAATATTGAAACTGTGTTTTTAGTGTTACAAGCTTATAGACTTATCGCTGAGCCTCTGGGAAGCCACACATAAACAATATGAGACAAACTGTCTACAGCTGCACGCTAAACAGAAACAACCATCAGCAGATTCTTTTAGGAGACAAATTTATCTTTTTTTGGCTATAAACATATCTATAAAAAAAAGACTGCCCCCAGTGGCACAGCGGTATGTCTGCGGACTTACAACTCCAGATCTGGGTTTCGATACCCCTGGTGGGCAGAGCACAGATAACCCATTGTGTACCTTTGTGTTTAATTACAAACAAACAAAAGAAAGACAACGGTATATAGATAAACCTGTTCAAAGCTATGACAAGATGAAAGGTGCATTAATGGTAGGTTAATATCATAAATAATATTCAACGTTAAACTGGTACACAGTTAAAAAC